CATATTACAAAAAATTGTCTTATAGCTATACAAAAAAATTTTCTTAAATCTATGAAAAAAATTTCCTTATAAACTATGAAAAAAATTGTTTTGTAGTTTTTCCTTTTTGGTTTACAGCGGCCGCATACAAAGCATTTAATGATAAATAATTATTATAATACATATTATAATAATTATTCTTGGTTTTAGACTTTAACTACATTTCGTTGAACGAGTAGTTAATTCAAATTGCTTTGCTTTCCGTTTCCTTCAGTTGGTGCAGACGTTCGAGTCCTGCACTGCGGCGCCCGACTTAAGCGTAAAAAGATTATCAAGCTATTTTGCTTGTTATGTACGTAAACATACATTATATATCACTTAGGGATAGATAAGGATCAAATAAAATACATACGGAATTACATTGGATAAAATATAAATAATTTCAGTTGTTCTCGCAACGCCTTCAAGTGTGATGATCCTAACTGATCTGTGTAGATGAGTAAATGTGGATTTCTTGGGCTGCTGGTTAAACCAGCTAATCAAATTCAATATAACAAAAATAAACTGTGTAAGCTACGATTGTGATTCTAAAAGAAGAGCTGAAATAAAATGAATAAGATGAGATGAGGGGATGAGCGCTTAAGTCGATCGCAACCGACAAGACAAATGGTCTGTCCTGTACCTGAATCGGAGTTAGGATATCATAAATATATATACAAATGGTGGTATATATGCGTTCACAGGTACAGGACACACATACATGAAGGGACACGCACAGTTCTACCTACGCACAAATATTTACAACATACACAACTAAACGAACATAATGGCAACTATAAAACGAGGACCATGTACAAATCGCTAGACCGGTTAGCCCGTCTACTACACTCATTGCTTACAAATCCGAGAAGATACGCTCCAAAATGGCCTCATCCTTGTCACCGTCCATGCTGCCGTCGCCAGCAGCAGCATTACCAGCGCTGACAAGCATATCAGCCGACTTTCTTAGCACACTACGTTCCATGTCTAGCCTATTGCGGAAGCTCTTGAATCTCTTCGCCGGGCGCTCCATTGTGGGTGATGGTGGTGGATGTGGCTCCGTTGTGGCTGTCGTTGGCTCCACCGTCGGCGATGGCATAATGTAAGCGAATTCAGGTATTGATGAATTCCCATCATTGCTGCGCAACGGTACGCGCTGAAAACCAAGCGTGGCCGGATCGACGGGCTCGCTGCCATTGAATATGTTGAAGCCTGCCGTGAAAGATCAAGATAAATTATTCACTGAATATTGTCAAAGACCAAGGGAAACTATACTCGGACCGCTAACATACCCTGGTATTGACCATTCTCGTTTTGCATGAGGACCAGCGGATGCTGCGATTGCTGCAGATTGTCAAGGGGCACCAACGTGAAGCCCGATTGCATGTCAGTTGATGCTGAAGTGGGCTCCTCAGCGGGCTCCTCGGCTGGTGCCACCTCTGTTTCTATATCCATGTTAAAGTCCTCGTCATCACTCGTATCAGTTGCATCCTGATGTGGATTTTTGCAGCCAATGCATTTGCAATCCACACACGATTTGCCCGCCACATAGCAAGTGCAGCGCGAATTGCGACAGGTCGCTTTACCAGGTGCCGAGGTGGTGCCACAGCGACAGATGTGTGACATGCGCGCGTCCTTGGGCTTAGGCTTATGGACTGTCGCCTTCGGCGTGGATGTGTTTGGCATGGTCAGCATTTTAGCGGTAGCCACGGGAGCTTTTGCTTCGACTGACGCAGCCACAGGAAGGGCAGCTTTGGTCACGGTTGCAATAGGAGCTGCTGCAGCAGACTTGGAAGTACCCTTGGCAACAGGCTTGGTAACAGGCTTGGCAACAGGTTTGGCAGGAGGCTTCGGAACAGGCTTGACAGCAGCCTTGGCAGCAGTCTTTGAAGCAGACTTCGGAGCAGTCGTCGAAGCAGACTTCGGGGCAGCCTTGGCAACAGTCGTCGGAACAGGCTTGGGTGCTGCTGGAACTATAACTTTTGAAGCTGGAGCAGAGATTGGAGCCGAAACTGCTGCGATTGGAGCTGGAATAGCAGCTATCGGAGCAGGAACTGCAGCTACGGAAGCTGGAGCTGTAGCTATTGGAGCTGGAACTATAGCCATGGAAGGTGGAACTGCAGATATTGGTACTGGAACTGCAGCTAGTGACGCTGGAACTGTAGCTAGAGACGCTGGAACTGCAGATATTGGAGCTGGAACGGCTGCTATTGGAGCTGCAGCCACTGGAGCAGGAGCTGTAGCTATTGGAGCAGCTGCTACTGTCCTTATGGGTGATCCTGTTGCTGTTGGTGGCTTCACCTGAACCGACGAGATTATCGTGGGTTTCTTATTACGCAAATTTGTGAGCGTGCTTGTTGGTGCAACGGCTTTAGTGCTTGGTAAAAGTTCCTCATCCTCCATATGGTCGAGCAACAGTTGTGCACGACGACGTTTTATGGAGCCACTGGTATCCACTGGCTTAAAAGCTGTCGCCTTGGAGGTGCTGGCGACAATTGGCTCGTCAGCCTCAACTGTTTCCATAGGCTCAACTGCTGCGACTTCTCCGAGCTGCTCCTCTTGTGACACTTGCTCCTGCTGAGATAGCTGATCCTGCTCTGATAGCTGCTCCTGATGTGATAGCTGCACTACCTGACCAATAGGGGCCATATGCACCTCGCCATTCGGCATTACATAGGTTGTATAGTTGGACGTGCTGTTGACATAATCTGCAGGTATTGTAAAAGCTCCCGATAGATCTACTTGATCCGACCACGGTGATTCGATGTAACCCGCTGGCAACATGGGCTCATCCGCTGGAATTAGCACTTGCTGCGGTTGGGGTGCGATGTGAGTGTGTGTCAACATTCGTGCTCCGGATGTCATCATGGGCAATGGATGAGCATACTGTGCTTGCTCCCCAGTTGCAGCTGCTTCCAGCTCAATGTCTGTAATAGATAACTGATTCGGCATATGTTGCTCGTACGGCAGCTCAGGAGTGGTGGCCGCTGTCGTAGGAGGCGTCTCCGCTGGCAACGATGATGGAGCATTTGCGAGAAACGGCAAATCCGGCTGGAGCAAAAATGTTTCAGACATACTCTCATAGTTGGCGCCTTCCTCGATGAACCACTGTGTCGATCTATTCGGGAGTCGAATCCGTGGCTTCCGCTCGATGTTGATTGAAGTCTTAATGTCCGGTCGCAGATGAAAGAACTCCGAGTACAGGGCAGACTGCCGTAGGTGCACACAGAGCGTTTTATAGCACAGCAACTGCAGAGCCATTGTTTTGTTCTCCTCGTATGTACGGAAATCTGAACAGTCCTTGCACTGCGGACAACTGGGCCATAGATTTTTGCGTCCACGCAAGCACAGCCGGCAAACATGGTGGCCACAACGGCGTCCCTTCGGCTTGTAGGGATCATTTAGCAGCTTGCAGCAGACGGCGCACGACAGCAGCTGACGCAGTTCACCAATACCTGTATTGATCTCATGTATGCGACGGGTCGACAAGTTCGACGCGGATTTCAATGAGAGTAGCGTAATTTGTATATAAAGTCTTTGCGCCTCCATTGTGTAAATGGATGGGCAATGGAAAAGTGTAGATAAACGTTTAGTGACAGTTTTCGTTAATCGGATACTGCGCTGGACGAGCTGCTGCGATTGCCGCCTGCCTTGCCGTAGCTGCACCGCGATTGCGTTAAAACATGTTCTTTAATTTCATTAGCTGTACATTTTCACCGGCTTTCATCGAATTTGTTGGCTGGCGTTCCTCTAGCAATAGATGTTGTTGTTGTTGCTGTTGTTTTCACTTATGCGGCTAAATACTTAGAAATACTATTCACGTGCAAAAAAAAATCACAAAAAAAAAACAAAAAAAAAAAGATGGTTATGTATTCTAAATGTTATTCAAGTCATTTTTAATTTTCACTTTGTTTTTATGAATTGAGGAGTAAAATTACCAAAGATAAATGGAACGCCGTGCCTGCGTTTTATATTCTTAGCAGTGCAATGTGACCGTTTCATGGCGGCCGTCCCACTCATCGCTGTGAATAACAACCGAGCTGCCATCTTGTTGAAAAATACTGATATGCTGGCACCCAAAGTAAGTATTTTTACTTCAGGGATGCATCAAAATTGAATGAAAATTAAAAAAACTACACAACGCGCAATTCAGTTAATATGTATATTTAATAGTTCCAGCAAGAAATATGGAAACAAGATTAGTCAGAAGTATTATAAATACTGAAATTTAAAAAGGGTTGATTATACTTATATATATTGTAGTTTAGAGTCGGAATTTTTTGTTGTATTTTTTAGCAATTTGCAGAAAATAAATTATTTTTTGGCTCAAAAATCCAAACAGATTTTTCCATTCTAGCAGCAGTTGCACAAAAACAAATTTGAAAGTGCTTTTAAAATTTTAGCACTTAATTATTAAGCAGATAAATGTTCATGAACAAAGAAGTTATATAAACATTTAAAATAGAAAAGAAGTTTAGTTAAATAAGCCTGCTTAAATAAATAAAAAATCACTTAAATATCGTTTATAACTTAAGCTGTTATGGATAATATATAAGCAAAGAAATGTTTTACATACATAAGTAATCTCTAATCTCTTATGACTTGACAATAATTTGTTATACATTTTTCGTTTCTTATTTGATTAACAGTTAAAATGAGTTAAATATATATACATACTACGTATTATTCGCATACAATTATCATTGAACTTATGTCAAGCATATACATACATAGACAACATACATACATCTGTATATATTCATTCTTAGAAAATATTGTAACTTTAGAGTAAAATAAGTCGTATTATAACTTAATAGTATGTATATGCACATGTGTGTATGTATATACGAAATGCGGAAACTAAACACTAGGCAATATGGGTTGAGTGAATTCTAAACAACTATATCAATCTATACTATACATTATATTTATATATGTATCTCATGCCACTAGGTAGCATAGTTTAATTTAATATCTTCTACATATGCTATGCTTGGTTTTAATATCTCCGCTCTTCTTTCTCGTTTACCACATTCAACGGCTGGTAGCTGGGATTGGAGAAGGCGTCTGTGCTGCCTCCTGCTGATTTGTTCGGCAGATTCTTGCGCGGCGGCTTTACATTAACGTAGTTGTCGCCGCTGCTGCCATTCAGCGCAGTCTCGATGTGATGTCGCGGCGAGGGCGTGGGCGTGGCATTCACATACTGTTGGGGAAATCTTCGCGATTGCTCCGGACTGTTCCGTTCCTCGCCATCCGATGTGGAGACGCGATGCAGCATGGGTATCTCCTCGGGTGCCCGATCAGCTGCATCCACTGTTGTCGGCAATCCGTTCTTGCGCCGCACCGGCTTATTTATACTACTGTCCATATTGTTCGCCAGCGTTGGCGAATGCTGTTGGCCCACTGTGCGATTAGTATCTGGGAACGTGAAAGAGGTTTCGTTTGTGTCTATGGCTGGCAAATCGGCTAAGTCGGCATCGCCTTTGGGGCGCGTGGGTGAAAAGATGGCGGTGCTGTTCTCTGTATTCATTTGTAGATAATCATCGGATGATTCTTCAATTCCTGTTAGTGTGAACATGTGTGTGAACGTGTGGGTGGGTGGGTTGTTGGTTGGTTGTGTGAGTGTGCGGTTTAGTTAGTTACATCCACATCCAAGCGAGCATTTAGCAAGTACTTACTTATCTTTGGCACTATGTGTCCATTGACATAGCGTGGCGCCGCTGGAGCAAAGTCGTCCGGCGCGCCCATCAGTGACAAATAGTCGGTGGGCCGGTTTTTCATATATTCTGTATTTGAGCGCATATAGGGATCATTAAGGTCAAGATAATGCTGCAATTATCCAAATAAGATTCTCTTAGTAAATCAAATAGCATTTCTTGTAGACATCCCACTTACATTGGCCACATCCTCGCCTAGCATGTCGGCAAAACGTCTTTCCAATACATTGAACAAAGGTCGACTTTCGGGACTAAGCAAATTGCAAAAGGTTTCAATTAAAGCAGATCATTATAAAATTTACTTTTTCATTTAATTTACCTCTTTCTCCAACACTCGAGCATTATTTCGTAGATCTCCTGATTGGCATAGGGCGGCTTCTCCATGCGATAGCCATCGTTTAGCTTGTTGAACAGCTCCTGATTGGGATCGATGCCTGGATAGGGCACCTTCGATAGCGAAAATAGCTCCCAGAGCACAATGCCAAAGGACCAGACATCGCTGTAGGTGCTAAAGACATGATCGCTGAGCGATTCCAACGCCAACCATTTGATGGGCAATTTACCGCTCTCTGTAATTTACAATCGAATGGGTTATAGTTCAAAATTTAAAGTTAAGTAATTTGATTGATCTAACCTTGTTTCTTATAGTTATCTCCTCTGTACATGGAACGTGCCAGACCAAAGTCACAAATCTTGACCACATTATCTTCACAGAGCAGAATATTACGTGCTGCAAGATCGCCATGGAGCACCTTCTTCGAGGAGAGGTAATCCATGCCGCGAGCCACCTGGAAGGCCCAACTAATCAGGTCGGTGGTGGTCACAGACATCGCTTCGGTGGAGTCTGTTTTATAGTTTGAACGCCAGGCGGGTTGAATTGAATTATTGGACATGACGTGATCATCTTAAAAAAAAAAAAAAAACAGACAAGATATTTTTATATAGAGTTATGGAATAAAGGTAATAGTAGTAAGCTTACCCTCTGGAACTGTGGTCATCACAGTTGCCTCTGTGGCACAGGTGTCCATTTGACGATCGTAGGTGGAGCCACCTGTTACAGTGCGGCCGGCACGTGTGCCCGAGCGTGGATCGTTGTCGGAGTTTCTGCGATTATGGTGCGTATAGTTGTTGTTTACGGAGTTCATGTGATTGATATATGGATGGTTCGGGAAACCGACGTTAGCATATTTCAAGCCACCACTAACACCACCACCAACACCACCATCACTGGTTAATATACATAGTGGGTGCACAACACAGACACATTTAGCAGGTTCAGAGCAGAGTGCAGAGAGGAATAGTAGACCATAAACCACAGGCACAAGCGCGCGCGCGTGCGTATGTGTGGGTGTATATATATAGATGTATATATACATTTGTATAGATGTGTGTGTGTATATTTTAAGGAAATTTGATTGTTGTAATTAGTTAGTGAATTGGGTTTCGTAATAGTTAAGAGCATTTGTTAGCACGCGTTGCAGCAGAACGAGAACAATGTTAGTTAACAGGAAAATTAGAACAATGTTAGTTGACATTAGCGATTGCCTGAATGTTAAATGTTAACATGCACTTTTAATTTGTCACTTACCGGTGCAGATCGAAGTTGTCTGAGATTCGTTGCGTCATGATGGTAGGATCGATGCGATCGTTAATAGGATTAATCTGATTGATAAAGCACTTGCGATTGCGCAGCAAAAAGTTTTGTACATTTCCAAAGCGACAATACTCCACGATGACCATCAGTTCACCTGCCAAGGTGATAAACAGTTAATTATTGAATATTATGTATAAATACATATATTAAGCTTCTAGGCCTAGAAATTCTATGACTTACGCTTTGCTATGTTTTTGGTAACAGCGCCCAAGAGATTCACAACATTCAAATGCTGTCCCAGATAGACCATAATCTTTAGCTCAGAGACCAGGGCGCGCACCACTTCCGCATCTGCCGTGCGTTTCACCATTTTGACGGCCACCGTGGTGACTGGTTCATCATTTCGTATGCCCTCCGCCTCGCCCTTCAGCACGACGCCAAAGGCGCCAGCTCCCAGCTGCTTGCCCAGCTTTAATTTTTCACGCGCAAACTCAAATTTAGAGTCATAGGGCAGCAGTTCCGCTTGCTCATCCAGCGACAGAGCCGGGTTGATCTGCTCCACATCGCCCTCAACAAAGTTGGCTAGTCCAGCGGCCTTCAAGGCCAAATGATGCCGGCGCTCCTGTCGATAGCGTATGCCCAGGAAAATGCAGAGGGCAATCAGAATCAAAAAGAAGATGACAGTGAACCAAATCCAAGCTTTGCTCATGCCAGGCATATCTATGGAATGGGGTAAATAGTATATGTATGTATCTAGACACCTAGTTGTCTACAAAGATTCACACTTACTAGCAATGATGACCTTGACCGAGTTTTCGATGCTGCCCAAGCGATTGGAGACCACACAGCGGTAGTTGCCATCGTGCGAGGGATACAGATGGGGTATCAATAGCTTGGTGCCATCCTCGACAATGTGTGTGCGATTCGTCTCGAATAGCTCGACATCGTCCTTGTACCAGTAGACCTTTGCCTGTGGCACTGCTTTCGATTTGCACTCGAGGATCAGGGAATCGCCCAAATTTCGTTCGATCTTAGAGTTGGCATTGAGATTTGTGTACGACCATTGGGGAGCTTTTGGATCGTGTACGTAGACATCGATCTCACGACTATCGTACAGATCTGGATTATTGATATAATGCGCACGGCATTCGTACGTGCCGCGATCCTGGTCGGCTATGGCATGGAACTTCAGTGTCTTCGTATACGAATATTCCGTGGTGTTCATCTCCACCTCAATACCTTCAAACCGATTCACAATTAGTTAGTCAATCAATCAACCAATTAATGTTGTATGCAAATCACTTACCTGGACTGGCCACCACTTGCTCTCCATCGTGATACCATTCCAGATTGCCATCGAAGTGATAGGCCAGAGCAGAGCAGGTGAACGTCTCCTCATCACCCTTGGCTATCTTACGGTTTGGATCCAGGCCAGATATACTAATGTTCTGTGCAACGTTGCCCAGAAACACATGTGCCCGGGTTTGTGATGTCATCGGCTTATTGTCGATTAGATTCTGAGCGACGCATATGATAATTCCTGGTTTATCCGGCGTAAAGATCGCCTCGTGTATATTCTCGATACTCAACTGGCCCGGACGAGTGTTTGTCTTATACTGGTAAAAAAGTTTTATATGTCATGATTTTATTTGAATATAGCAATATTAAAACTTTCTACTTTACTTAAGCTAAGATTTGCAATGTTTGAAACTGTTCACAAGAGTTTTTTAACAGTGGCAGTAGTCTTTACATTACAGCAGCAGCAGCAGCAGCAGCTATGCAGCCGACAGCAGCAACTGTTAACTGTTAGTTTAAACATCACTGTTAAACGACTCAGTATTGGTGCTTAACTGCAGCCGCAGCCTTTAACAGTTTATTATGGAAATTTTGGATTCTAACAAATTCTTTTGAATTAATGGCATATTTAATTCTTAAGATTACTAATATTAATAGATAATTAAAAATCTTAGAAATTTTTAGCTTAATAATCAATCTGAACAAACCGAGTACCTGATATATTTCCTGGACCTCTTTGGACTGAATTTTAATTTCATTTGTGCAGAGCAAGTTGGGAGCAAAATACAAATAAAAGATTATTTATCAAATTGAATGTTTCAAATTGAATATCATACATATATACATTTTATAAATATGTTTAGCATATTAAACAATCAAATGAAATTAGTTAAAAATTACTATAGATTATTATTATTTATTTATATTAATCAAAGAATTCTCTAATTTTTTAGGACATTGTTAGGAACTATCTGCTATGGAGTAGGAGCGGTTTAGTCAGCTTGAAAGGTTTTTACGTATGGATTCGTCTACTATGGATTAACTACTAAATGAATTGCTAATTTACTAAATACTTACACTAAAGTTTTGCGATGCTTGCTCACACTCGGGCCAGCGCGGCTTTAGGCGACAGGCCTTGAACATAAATGTGACAACAGCAGGTGGATAGGCTTTGACGCTGCAGTTGAGATGTGCTTCCTCGCCAGCCACCACATAGACATCATTCATGCTGAGAACAGGTCCCGAGATGACGCTAACATTAAAGTCCAGCTGCTTGGCATCCACTCCATTCGTTCCTTTCAGCGTATAGGTGCCGCTGTCCTCGAGCTGTGCGTTAAGTATTTTCAGCGTTGTGCTGGACTCTGTTGCGAGGATCTTGAAGTTCGGTTCGGTGTCCCAGACCTCAATGCCATTCGGTTTGTACCACTTGAATGTGGGCTGCGGAAAGCCCTCAAAGTTGGCCGTCATTTGTATAGTGCGGTTCGCATGCTCGAGCACTGTATAGTGTTTGGAGGGCTCTGACACTTTCAGATAGCTGGAGTTCGGCTCTGTTATGGTTGCAAAAATACACATAAAAAGGTAAATACAAAACCAGTTCTATACTTGTTTTTAAAATCGCCAATCGAAATGTCACTCACGCATAACATGCATCCCGTAGGAGCCGAACTGCGTGACATGTGAGTCGCGCACGACACACTTGTAGACACCGTTATCAGTAAGCTTGGCATCTCGCACGGTCATGGTACTGCGGCCCACCTGATAGGTGTGATTCTTCACATTATCGTCAAATTTCGGAGTGGTGTTGGTATAGCGGAGCTAAGGAAACATTGAACAGATTTTATTTTACAATTAATCAACCCGAATAGATCTATTTAAACACTTACCTTGTCCACTTTTTCCGGAATAATCCACTGCATATCGTAGACAACGCCGTGCGGGGCAGACAGCTCGCAGACCAGCTCAAATGTTTCACCCTCGTAGACATAGCCACGAGACGTTGAGGTGATGACGGGCTTGTTGAGGCGATCGCTCGCTTCTGTTGTGCACGCAGAGAGGAGGATTACGTTATTGAAGGATATTTACAGTTAGATAAAGTGACGCAAGCATTTGTACATTTACATGCAGTGGGTTAGCGGGGGAGGATTTAGAGGAGTTAGTGTAATACTCATACAGGCGTTAAGAACTAAAGCTAAAGTGTTAACAATTAGCTAATATACAAATGCAAAGCACCATTAATAGCAAATTCAAAAAATAATTAGTAATTAACAACAAGCGACAATAAAAAATAATGCAAGTAATCCAAAAGCGAACAAAAATAACACAAAACAGAAATGAAAACATTATGCAGGACATTCAGAGGCAACAAGACAACAAGGGACAACCGCAACACTTACGCCCTTTTGGTTGCCTTGAGGGCAAAGGTTTCATCGGGGCCAACATCGTGTAGCTGCGCTTAGGACGCTGCGGGGCAGACGACGATGATGAGGAGTAGGGCGAGGATGATGTTAACGAGGATGAGTCAAAGTCAAAGTCGGGGATATCATAGGCTACCGTGTTATCGGTATCGTTCTGAATATCAATATCGATATCGACATGGATATCGTTATCGCTATCGATATCGCTATCAACATGCCCAGCACCATTTGTTATTGCAACGATATCGTTGGCTCTGTTAGTAACATTGATGGACTCATCGGCGAGAATCATAACCTTTAAATCGTCGTGCGTTATGTTAGTTAACATCTCAGTCTGCACCAAAGTATTTTTGTCCAATCCGAATGCTGAGAATGTGTTAGCATATTAATAAGACAGTTATTGAAACATAATTATATAAAAAGACAGATAGAAAGAGAGAGACATAGAGGCCGATTGATATGTTTAAAAATGTAAATATCACACATAGTCCCACATCTAAAAAGCAATTACAGTTTTATTTTCAACAACTACCGTGTGTCAACTGTACTTATGTGTGCGTGTGTGTATTTGTGTGTGTGCGCTCTTTTGGGTATGTGATTAATAAAAAATTTTGATTGCACTGTTGTAAGATCTTAGACCCATAGCCATAGGTGCAAATCCGAAAGCCTCTTGGAAAGTTTAGAATAATAGAAGAATTTTCTAGGTTTTGTTTTTAAATATAAAGCAATATTTACGACACATATATGGACGGAAAATCACAAATCACAAACTTTGGGGTGCAAAAACTCACTATCAATATGACCGTTACCAATAAAGCGCACAACAATGAGCGTGCTTTCCTCTTCATTATCCGGCGAGGGGATTTTGGGCTCGCAATAATATTCACCGCCATCGGTAACGCTGCGTATTTCGATAACAAAACCTCGTTTCGGATCATATCGACCGGTATTCTCACTGGAAAATGTCTACGGATAATATATATATTGATTTATTTGATGATTATAGTCAGGTATATCAGACATGTTAGGTAAGAGATGCGAGAGATGCGAGTTATGAGGGCAGAGAAAAGCTTTAATTGACAATTTCGATCCTATCGATTCATCGATCATCCACGATAACCTAACAAAGCAACATTTTGAAATCTTCGATCTACAATTTCGATTGTTGATGTTATACTTTAGAGATGTCTAAATATATATATATATCTATATTCATTTACGAATATGTAATATGTACAGATGAACGCAAATATAATATGGAACTGACTAAATACATATGTCTATCGTTTATCGATTATAAATAATTACACATACTTTGGTAGTGTATGTTAACATTGTAGTCCGTGTTAGCCGCTTTGCATTTCCAGGAGGGCGGTATTTTGTCAGTTATGAAATATAGTGTGAACCCCACCTTGGGGTCATAATTAGAATTATTGTAGAAATCATGTCGGCTTTGAGAGGCCGTACTTGAGCTTATTTTACCTATCTGCTCGCCGAGATGAATGACGAATAAACATGTTTGAGAAGCGTGTGAATTGATAAGCACAGATAGAATATACATATTTCCCGTTAAATACTCACTTCACCGTTGAACGTTAGCATCACCTCCGTCTCGGGCATGGTTGGCTTACAGGGTATTATCACCTCAGAGTATTGCCGAGCATAAATGATTGGCTCCTGCGCTACCAGCAAATTTTTCGTGTCATTCACAAACACATAAATGGTGCTGGCCTCGTCTTCGTTGACCAAACTGACGAGCTCCTCCTCCGACCAGTTCATCTGATCGGGCGCCGACGAGGATTTGATGCAATAATAGGCGGACACATTATCGACTGTGACCTCCTCCAATACGAGCCTATTGCCAAATGGACGTTGTGGATCTTCAATGTTCTCAAAGGGTTCACCTTGTTTCAATCCGTCGTGGCTGCTCCACCATTCGATGGGTTCGCTGGCCTCACATTGCAGAGTGTATGTTGTGCCAACTTGTAGTTTAAGGGAGTCCTTGCAGGGCGTTATAAGCGGCACACCAAACTCGCCGCCACAAGTATAGGGTATGTCATTACCCTCGAGGTGACTTTGTGGACGGGGCACTAGCGAGAAAAATTTGAGATCAAATGTCAGTTTATGCATCTGGTATACCATACTTATTTAAACCGAAATGAACTTTGCTTTAACTATAACAATATATGTACCGGGAATGATGTGAGATGTGAGATGTTATCTCTTCGGTCTTAGGGGAAGATGTAATCTAGTGGTATCTGCTGGTACTTTAAGACTATGAATGTAACAATCTCTTCCTCTCTCTCTGTCTCACTTGAGTTTTCTATCTCTTTTTTTCCTTCTTTTACTCTCTCAGTTCCAATGTTCCTTCTCTTTTTCTTTCTGATACGTCTCTCTCTCTCTCTCTCTCTCTCTCTCTCTCTCTCTCTCTCTCTCTCTCTCTCTCACTTTTGTCGTCTACCTCAGGATTTATCTCAATATAAGCTAAGTCTCTATAATTTCCATATATTTAACTTAAATATATTGAAGCTGTTTAGCTACCTCCTGCTAAATAATTATCAGCTGCATTGTCATTCTCTATCTTCCATATAGAGTCCGTCATTTGAAATAAACATATATATGTATATATAGACATAAATACAATATTTTATATTCTGTGTATTATGCTTCCTTATGAAGTCAATGATTTTTTACTGGCGATAACTAAATGGAGGACTGTTGATAGCATTAAGCTCTTGAATTGTATTCGCTGTTCGCGAAGTAAATACAAGTATACAGGGTTGATGTAATATCTGCACTATTAGAAAATTAATTTTTCTAAGGTAAGGACGACTTGAAACAAGAGCAAACAGAGTGTAGACAAAAATATTATACAGATATTTAGTGATCACATAGCTACTTGAGGCACAACAGTTTCGGATAAGAAACAATCTAAGTCATATCACGGCAGCTTGTTTCGTTGGGCTGAGCGTGCGAGCAATACGCCCCAGATATGAAGTACTACTTAATAGACTCGCTTGTGGTAAATAATGGAACATATTATATTTTATGAGTGACACTTTAATGGGATATGCTCGATCGTTTTAATGGTCGGCGCCATTTCCGAAAATGAAGAGCGAAGAGAGAAGACATTCGCTTATCAACGATCGTTCGAAGTTCACAATTGTGTCTAGAAATTCACTTAAGACTCCATAGAGATTGGATGATTGGAAGCTGGCTGGATGAGGCGATCGAGCGTGGATCATAAATTATAAGGAAGACAAGAAGCAAAGGCCTGTGCGATCATCATTGTATGGAATAAATACTCATATAATATATTTATATATAGAGCGAGAGAAAGAGAGAGAGAGAGAGAGAAAGAGAGACGCCATATAGACACATGATATATATGTCAGAGTTTATATATGCATATGCATACACATATGTATATACTACTCATATTTTAATTGTGTGAATTGCTTGCGCTAAATATTTCATGGCCATCATTTAAATCGTTTCAACTAAGAATACCCTGTATGCTAGCTGGGTTCTGGCATGCCCACAGATCTAAAGCTAAGCTTCTGTTATGCAGTCAAAAGTTATTTATATATACATATGTATATGGAATAGAATTTATGGCACTTATCACTTCTCAGAAATGTATTCAAACCAAACGCTCTACTCCGGATTAAATGGTAACACATATACATACATATATATTTTTTATCCTGTAATGCAAATTTTCTGAGAATCATATATTTTATACTTTATATATGTACATATATATTTTTATTATTGCGTAAACAGCAAATTGTTACTTACATGCTTGATTGTAATGAAAACATGAGATTCCAATGAGGCAGAGCAGCAAGAGTTTCCGCATTTTGATAATGTTAATCAATTATGTTAAGTTTTATTTTTGAATTGTTGTTTTTGTTTTCTTTTCTGTTTGTATATATTTGAATATATATTTAAGATATCTGGCTGTAGTACTTCATTGTTATCACGAATTACCCTGAGTGCACTGCAAGAAATGAATTTGTTTAACTTTTAGTTTATTACGAAAATAAACGATTTTAGTCTCTGATATATATAATAATAAAAAGTATAAAAAAATAAATAAGACTTTGGTAATATTTTATTTGATTTATTTATTTTTGTTAAATTTTTAGTTTTGTTTAGTTTTTAATAAATGATTTTAATTTCTGGTGTATTAAAAAATAAATACAACTTTTTCAGTATTTAAAAATTTATTCATAATTTTTTTTTCACACTGAGCACAATGTTTTATACACTGAACCCATTAATTTGTATATATATATATATTATATTTTTTTTACTTATGATGAGTAAAAACTTTTTTTTTTGTAATTGTTTATTATGACTATTAATTTGTAATTTGTGTAGACTTTAAATCACAACATTCTATACCCATTCACAATAGCCGGACGATTTCCGTTTCGAACGCTGCGCGCAATCTCTCCAGCCCAACTGAATGCTCAATCTTCAAGCAATTTACGACTGGCATCTCGAAGCTCAAATTGAATTGAAGCTGGTAGCTGTTTTTGTTGATAAAATAATTGTAATATCACAGAATTTTTGTTTGTGCTTCTTTCTTTATGGACGCTGAACTCTTAATCTGAAACGTTTGGTATTATCGCAGCTTCAGTATATCGTATTTATGCGCATAAACAAAAACAAATTGTGTCTGAGCAATAGAGAGAAAGACATCAACAGAGAGTAGATATTGAGAGAGAGAGAGAGAGAGAGAGAGAGAGAGCGCTCACGCATCAACATAGCTCTGTGCGTTACGCATACGCACAGTGTTACACAAAATATTACAATAGACATCCGCTAGAAGCGATATCCACAGTGATACCAGATCAGTGAAATGTGGAACAAGAACAACCGCCATACATAGCTCTGAGGGGGTGGCCGGCGACATGCGGCGCACTAAATAACAACGAAACATGCACAATTAAACATGCTGACTAAAACACACACATACAACTGACAATTGGCTCTGTTTATGGCGGGTGGCCGAGCCATAAATATGCTTGTAATACATACTCACAGACAAGCCAAACACCCACCCCGACCCGCCCACACGCCACATCTGCTTCAGTTGACAACAAGTGGTCATATAGACAGGAATTTCACAGGAATTTCACATTTGTCCCGCTGGGAACACACCCAGAGACTAATCAGCAGAATGGCGCGCCAGCATATGGGGGCGGTGTGCTGACATTTAAGCCTAGCCAACTTGTTGGCTAATTGTCTTTTTGGGCTGCCAAACAGACGGCAAACAAGGGCATTCATCTTTGTCAACGACAGCAGGACATAAGGAATCCATGCGTCATCTCTAGCTCGCTAACATCTAATTAATGTGCTCGATCTATCGTAGTCACCTGAGTGACATTGCAGGCACTTACACTTGCAAATATTGACAGCTCGAATTGAAGGGACAAGTTTAATCGCTTAACCATGATGCGAGCAAGCACTTAGTTAATGGCAGGCCAGAGAGCAAGACGCTTGTACATGCCAAGCAGATGCTCTGCAGCCAAACTGACGTTTCAAATGTACACGTTTAAGAGGATTACGCTCGTAAAAGGGACCGTATAAAAACCGGTTAGCTTTCGAAAGCAATTGGCTTTTGTGGATAGGTATTTTCATTTTCAATTCGATACTTCAGTGGATTAGCTTGAGCTGTGCAAGCCAACAGCTCTATTAGAAATTAAATTTTATATTTTATTAGGTAAGAGAGAATAATAATTACATGAAGTCATATATCTTTGTTGCAGCTGCTGTTTGATTGAAGTGAGAGCTTCGTAGAAGAAGAATTTAAATACAAATAGCAAATATTTACATATGCTAATATACACAGTTACATACATATATACCTGTATAAATACATCAATGCATA